CGCATGCCCAGCCTGGTAATGAGCTGTTCTCCCACTCTTCAAAGTCAAAGGCGACAAACATGACAGAATATTCACGAGTGCATCTACCTGTGACGGAAAAGAAAATTGGTTTAAAAAATGCTATGCGCATTGCGAATTATCCTTTCTTACAAAAGAACTTATTTTTAAGTGCTTCTCGATAGCACGCGCGAAATCGTCCTCGCAAGCGATGTTGGTTTTAGTAGACGTTAATCAAGGCGTTTCCATGACATAATATAGTCACATACCCTTGGATAATATGCGTATTCCGACGTTGTCACAGAAATACTTTAAAACCTTATTTTGTTGCTATCGTATTGTATGAATCGCGCGTGGTTATTAGAAGCAGTGCAACCCACCTTGAGAAATATTGAACTCACTTGAATCTTTAGACAGTATTCTTGCTACTTGCAGCATAGCAACAACGCCTGAGCCGTTGTCGTCAACGCCTTTTGTAGTGCGCACAGTGTCATAGTGTGCGCCAATCAGAATCAGCCTGTCGTATCTTTTTTTATACTGCCTACCGGGCAACACACCCACGATGTTAGTACCGTTCCATGGTGTCCCTGGTGCCTTGAAACACACAAGTTAAAGTTAGCTGGTTTCAAGAATAAATGACTGTGTTTAACTTTGATAGCACCTTAAGGAAAAGGAAGTGAAGGAGGGTAGAGTTGGAGGAAAAAGAAGGGGAGGAGGTGAAAGAGGTAAGTGGAAAGAAGAGAAGAAAGAGGTGGATGTAGGGAGGAGAGGAATAAGAGGAGAAGGTGTAAGAAAAGGAGAAGGAGGAGGGAAGAGGAACTAGGAGATATAAAATAGAGCTTATGCACTATTTTCCAGACCATGTGTCATTGCCTTTAGTAACTTGCAATTATTGTCCATTGAAAATTAAATATATAACTTACTTATAGAGGTAAAGCTTAACAAATAGAATTAAAACGTTTATACTTTAGTGTAGTATACCTTAAACTATACGGGTAGTGCAGGTAGGAGGAAATGGAAGAAGATAAGGAGGGCGTTTAAGAGGAGGAGTGGGAAGACAAGGAAGAGGAGGAGGAAGAAGGAGAGGAGGGGTAAGACGAAGAGTAAGAAGAGTGAGGGGAGGAGTAGAAGGAGGAGGAAGAGGAGAAGGAAGAAGAACACGAAGAAGAAGAACACGAAGAAGAAGAACAAGAAGAAGAAGAACAAGAAGAAGAGGTAGATGAGAAAGGAGGTTTAAAAGGAGGAGTATGATCCAACTTATATACTTTAGTGTAGCATAATATACCCATACCTTAAACTGTTCAGTCCAAGTATGAAGTCCTAAAGAAGTTAATGTGTTCTTGATGTAGTCTTGCGCCAGTTGTTTACCATAAGGATTGATCTTGTGATGACGATTCATGTCGAAATGTTTCAGGTCATTTAGCAGGATATTGTTGGTTGATGAACCATGAACAATGTCAACTACTCGAAGAAAAATAACATAATTGGATGAATAAACCTGAATAAATATGGCAGAGAGAAGAACGGCCAGCCAAAATTGATATACCAATGCATAAATGTATGCTTATATAAGTATGATAGAAAGACTTGACGGATCGGATGACATTGTTTGTATAGAAATTTTGTCTCGTGAATAAATTACAACTGAGACAGATCAGCATTCATTAGATCGTTTAAGTCTTGGTTTGTTTCTTTTGTACTGACAACGATTTTTGGAATAGGCCGTGTAAAATAGTGTGCTTTCCAGTGGAATATCAATACAAAGAAGCTTTTAATATAAGTAAATAATTATTAAATTGGCTTTTATTCAGAGGCCAAACGTTCAGAAACGCTAAGTGGTTACAATAGAGAGATTTTAAAAGCTTCTCGTTTACGGCAAACGTGAAACGTCAGTTGACCATTAAAAAATTCTTTGAAATTRGTGAAAAGGAATCGAAAAAATCTCCAAGTAGTAGATAAAAAGAAGAATATGTGTCTTTGTCGGGAAGGTTTGCAAAAGGTTAAGTGAATTGTAGTGAAACGTGGTCAAAACGTGGGAATCTTAATCTGCCTAATATTAACATGATAACAACTAAACAAAAGCACTCGTGTATAATGGTAGTGTCATGAGTGATATCGCTTTTAATAATTTTCTAAACTAATGCATATACTACCAGTATTTTATTTAATTAAAATACTGGTGCCTACAATATTCACGAACACAAAATGACTGTTATCAATCAGCCACCCACGTTCCTTTATTTGTTTGAGAAGAAAACGGGACATACTTGTTTTCACTCGGATTTTAATAACCTGATTTATATATATTTCTTTTTTTACGTACAGAATGCAACTAAATCAATTACTTACTCGTTGTCAGGAACAAAGTACGAAGAAATATCGAAGAAAATCTCCAACGCAGATCCATTACGATGTCTTTCCAGCGCTGAAGCAGAGCCCGCGTCTATTTCGATCAAGAAATGCAACGACTTTCGAGAAATGAGTCTCGTTTCAGTCTTACGCGTTCGTATCTTGGCTCGGGATGGGCAGTACCGTATTTACTCGAATAAGCGCACCGGCGCTTATTACATTTTTTACGTCTATAAAACGGATCGCTTATTCGCGGGAGGCGCTTATTCAATGGGAGGAAACAAGTACACGACTGCCAAACTATGCTTTTCTTTTATATCAATGTCATACTACTACGACAGTACCGGTATTAGTATACTATAACGAGAAGAAATGTGAGGCGCTTATTCGGGGGAGGCGCTTAGCGCAGTTTTCGTATGACTGTGAAAAGTTCAGTGCCGTAAGTGTGACGTGCCGTGACCGTGATACTTTCTAGAATTTTAATTGGCTGATTTTTTCCACCCGCAATATGATTGGTCTAAAAGTGCCTTGATCTTGGCGTGACCGTGTCCGTGCCGTGTTTGTGCCGTGTTCCGGGTATTTGATTGGATGGAGAATAAATTCTCGTGCAATGTGATTGGTCTAGCGCATCCCTTGCTGTGTCACGACCGTGTTCGTGCCGTGAGCTTTTCACAGTCATACGAAAACCGCCCTATTCGAGTAAATACGGTACTCACATTCCCCAGTCACGCTCATGTATTATATATTTGCTTTTAAAGAAAATGAGTGTCACTGACGAGAAAGAGGAAAGAAGATTAAGTAATGAGGAAATAAAAAAGATTCTAGAGGAAATTCCAGAAAAATATAGATCAGAATTTGTTTAGAGTTTGCGGTGACAGAAAGATTGTAATACGCGGTTTTATTTTWAACTCATGTCACTTCCCTCCGAAAAAAACAATACCTGAGGTCCCAGCCTCTCTCGGCTTGAAATCAGCGAACTGTGCCGAAACCGATAATTTTCTTTTGATGCGATCAAAATTATAGTGCAGGGTAGCTTGTGCTGGTATATCGTTTTACTTGCTAAATAAGTTCGAACTGACTTACGAGAAGGAATGTGATRCCATTAAATCGTAATAAAAAGATTACAAAAAGTGTTTGCACTAGAATCTCTAGAATAGATGCACTATACTCTAACATCAAGCTTATTTTCTAAAGGCAAAATACGTCGCGATTTTGATATAGCAAAAGTTATTTTCTTTTAATACGGTGGTTGGGTKCCTATTACATAGGGTCCGCCAGGTAAAAAAATCCTGACTCTAATTTGAAAAAAATAGATATTTTGAATTCAAAATTTACCTCCTTTACCTAATTTAAATTTGAGTACGAAACCTGGTCGATGGCGCACGATATGGCCCATCTTACAGCGTATCGGGAAATATGCATAACTAACTCTCGACTAAGAAAAAATRACACAAAATTTGATCACAAAATGCTATGTTTTGATCCCCTTTCGGTATGACAGACTCTAATGAGCGGTTTACACGGGGAGTCGACGTTTCCGAGTCTCCCTAGCCAGGGGCTACTGTTTAGGTATGCCACCATAGTTATTTCATATGGCTATTGACTATGATGTCACACACTACACTCTCACTGCCGCTATATTTAAAACACAAAATTATCTAAATTCCGATTCGATCTGTGCAGAGGTAGCTTCAGGGCATCGATAAAATTTGAAGGTGAAGGTCGTTTGTTTCTTGAGAGGCAAGACAATGTTTCGTCCAAGTCCTATCAGGCTTCTACACAGACGATTGGTYCTCACAACTTTCTGGTTCAGGGGATGTAAAGTCAAGGCTGACTTCTTCCAGCTGATCACCGTCAACCAGAACATCTGAATCACTGGATCGCCTTCGACAGTAAGTAGATTTCGCCACCGTAACAATAACGAAACCAATGAAAGTACAGATACCGGCTACKACTATTTTYGCAATTGTTCCAGAAGTCAAGCCTAAACGGTAAAAAAAGACAAAATAATGTCGTTATATAAGCCTTAATCAATTGAAAACCCCGCTGCACAATCCACGGGACAGCCGGGAAAAGGAAGTCCTTAAGAAAGAGGCCGGCCATCTATAGCGGGGATTTTAACAATAGCCGGCGATATCTTATTTTGAGGACTGTGTTCTAGTTATGACTTAATCCCGTGAAAGATATAGATGAAGCCACATTGTCGGGGGAAAAAGGAACACCAAGAAGTTTTAACAATAATATTTCCCCCAGGGAACCGGGGAAAAGTGCTAAATTCTACATTAGGAAAATGTCCTAGCGGTAGGGGCCGCGTGGAGACTGGTACACAATAATATTGGCTAAGTTAAGTTACGTGTGTGGTACGTGTAAGCCTTGAATTCAAGCGCTTAAATGCACCTTTATCGAGAACTACGTGACATATTAGGCCATTAGCTAAAACATATCATACCTTCAGATGATGAATTTCTGCCACTACTACATCTGGTCTTAGTTAGAACATTGGTTGTCATGACAATAGTGTCACATGACTTGGACAAGAATCCAAGGACGTCATCGGTCACGTGACTCAAGCTATCGCAGAGTTGGTGATAACAGGTTCTCATGTAACTTCTCATGTTTGCCGTATCGCTCAAGAAGATAGCTCTGTTGGATGTAAGTTTGTTCCAGAAACTGACGTGATCGCTCCTGAGGAAAGGGCGTATACTACTTTTATCTCTTTCAGGAAGTTTGCTTGGCGGTCCATGAAAAGGAAGTGGAAAAACTTGCAGCTTGTACTTGTCACTCCGTTCTCTGCCCGTAATTGCTAAAGAAATGTCTTATGATAACGCGTAGTATAAGAAAAAAGAGTATCAGCAACATGTACAACCGCGTGTCACAGGGTTCGTGCTAAGGTAACCACTTAAAATTCAAGGACTATTCAAGGAGTATACAAGGACCCAAAAATGAATTTTCAAGGAGTATGTTCAGCTAAGTATGCCAAGGTTTTACACAATGGTTGCACATGGCCGACTTTCAGATTTTCCAATCTTTCTGACTAGATCTATTTGAGAACCATGCAAGTAATGATCAAAGCAAAAAGTCAAGGACTTTTCAAGGAGTTTCGCTAAAATTGTAAAATTTAGGAGCTTTTCAAGTGCCCTTGAAAATGTGAATTAAATTCAAGGAGTTTTCAAGGAGTTTAAGGAGTAGCACGAACCCTGTATTCAGTATATATTTTGTATGGACCCCTTGCACTGAGTTCTGAGAGGAACTGTTCTGGGGGACAAAGCAATGGACTTTTTTTGTATAAGAAAAGACGGCCTATTGTTTTGACGTCCTCCAGAGCAATTCCTCTAGGAAATCAATGCAAGAGGTCTATATAACATACCTATTCTATTGTAACAGGATTCAAAAGTATCAAGCAGTTCTTTATCGTCTCGCTGTCGTCCTGTATCTCGCTGTCGTCCTGTAATAAGTAAGAAATCACCCCTCTTCTTGTTTCCAATTATACTTTTATACTGCTTGGGAAAAATCGTCTTCAGTTGTAGGGGTACGATTTGTGAATTAGGAGTTGAGTCGTAGTTCATCATAGTGTCCATGATAATAGCACCCTGAAGCTGACCGTAAGGAGCGAAGAACATATCGGGGGACGAATTCCAATACTGACTAAAGTTGGCCATGAAAGCACGGCTTCCACACCCTAGTTTATCGCATGCCCAGCCTGGTAATGAGCTGTTCTCCCACTCTTCAAAGTCAAAGGCGACAAACATGACAGAATATTCACGAGTGCATCTACCTGTGACG